GTTGTTTAAAAATACCTAATCACACTCCAAATTTATATATGTGTATTCTAAATTTATTTTCATGGTACATGGCATCATTTCTAATTTTCCAGTGAGTAATTTATTTAAACTTAATATACCAACTAATAAGTGGATTAACCCCTATAAGATCTCAATTTTTGGAGAAACCTAAGGTCTCAACTCGCTTTATTCTCTATATTATGCCAATGCATGATGCAGCAATTCCTTAAAACAAAAATATGATCTTTTCTAAATATCTTAAAATATGTGGGTTAACCCCTACAATAAAGATCAAGTTTTCGATATATGTTATATATATATGTCTCTTTAGTTTTGTTTAAAACTGCCTAACCACATTCAAAATTTATGTTAATGTACTAAACTTATGTTCATGGTACATGGGCATCAGTTCTAAATTTTAACCGGAAAATTTACTTAAATACATATACCACCAAAATCAATGAACTAAACACTAGGAAATCTCAATTTTATAGAGAAATTTGGACAACTAAGGTATCATAACTCTTTTATATTCATCTTATATTAGTGTTGGATGCAGTTATGCATAAATACTAAAATTCCATAGTTTCTAAATTATCTTGGAATATGTGATTTAATTCCTATGAAAATATCGAGTTTTCCGATAAATACTATTTATACTTAAGTTTAGCTTCTTACTGTTGTTGAAAATATCTAAACACATTAAAAATGTATAGTAGTGTATCCTAAATTTATTTTATGTTACATGAAAATCAGTTATAATTTTCCAATGAGTAATTTAATAAAACTTCATAACCACGTAAATCAAATAACCAAACCTTATGAAATCCTTATATTCTAGAGAATTTGGGAAAACAAAGGTGTCAGACATTCTTGATCTTGATCCTTTATATGTGCTGAATGCATCTATGCGTTAAGAGAAAAAATACCGTATTAACTAATTCATCTTGTTCTATGTGGGTTAACATTTACAAAGTTATCAAATTTTCCGATAAATGTTATATACTGAAGTTTAAGATATTTCATGTTGAGGTGTTAAAAAAAATAAAAAGCTATTTCATGTTGATTAAAAATACCTAATCACATCATACATTTTTATTAATGTATTTTTAAACTTATTGTCATGATACTCGAGCATCATTTCTAATATTTTATTGATTAATTTAATAAAATTTTATATTCCACCTAATTATGTGGACTAATCCCTATAAATATGTAATTTCTATAGAAATATTCATAAATAAGATTTCAGACCTCTTTAATTTTTATCACATGAAATTATGCATTAAAAATGTCGTATTTTCTAATTTATCTTACGAAAACATCTAGTTTTTTTTCTAATTAATGCTATATATACTAAAACTAACCTAATTAATGTTTTTTTTTAAAATACCTAACCAAACTATAAATTTATATTCATGTATTCTAAACATATTTACATGGTACATGGGAATCATTTCTAATTTTCAACGAGTATTTTTAAAAATTTCATATACGTTCTAATTAGTTTACTAACCCCTATAAAATCTCTATAAAACTTTTTATGATTTTTATTTGTACAGCATGCATGCAAAACATTTTCATTCCTCAGAATGTTAAAATGCATGCACATGTAAAAAAAAAACAAATTCGATAAAGTGCATCCATGTATTTCTCGTAAAACACTTTTTATGATTTTTATTTGTACGACAAAGCAATCGTTCATGTGTTACTATCAGCAAAACTCGAAAACAAAATAAAAAAAAATTTCAAGCACTTATACAACCATTGCACTTGTTTTTTATGTGTGCAAGTTTACAGAACCTTAAACTAACAACAAACAATACTTCCAGATTTACAAAAAAAAAAAAACTCCGTAAACTTAAATGTTAGAATGCAAAATTTCCAGATTTCGGGGTTATGAATGTACACTTAAAAATGTATTATGTTTAAGCAACATAATTATTTACTTTCTAATCAAAGATCAGAATTCCTAAATACATGCAAATAATCAATTCATGTATAAAATGTTAATTATGCCGACGTAAACTTGTATCATAAACCGTCATTATAACGGATGTAACCTAAGTGTTTCTATCAAAATTTTATATATAATTTAAGTGGATAAAATTATAGGACATGAATTATGTATTCATAGAATAAAGATAATCAAAAATATAGATTTGTTAGAAAAAAACGTTTATTCGTCACTATTTTTTTTGATTAATGAAATTTTTACTTGAAAAAACTAATGGAAATATACTATTTATATATTTTCATAGTTATATATGAATACTTACAACTTTTCAAGTTAAAGTTACTGTTTTTAATGAATAGTCATAACTATTATTGGTAGTGAATAGTCGCAATCTTTCAAGTTAAAATTAATTATTTTATGAATATTCACAATTTTTAAATTAAAGATAGTGAATAGTCACAACTTTTCAAGTTAAAATTAGTTATTTTTATGAATAGTCACAACTATCTAACTATAGATAATTATTTTATATAATACATTTACATTATATATTTAAATAGACGCATCACTTCAGAAAACACATTTGTAAAGATAATATTATATATTATATAAAGATTTTAACTATTTTTAAAAATAACTAAATTTTAAATTGACGCACTATTTCAAAAACATTTTCATTACAGAAAGATATCTTAGGTATTTTTTTAAAATCTAATTTTTCTTTGCAATATAAAGACATAAAATTTCACTTAGATAGAATTCACAACATTTGACATTAACTGAGATTTTACTATTATTAAAAGATATACTAGAAAATTAAAAGAAAAGGAGAAAAGATGACGAGGTGAGAATTTGTATAAAATGATTGGCTGATTCCTCCACCAAAGTTTATTCATGGTCATATAAGCCTATAAGGGTATGCCGACAAATATACAAAGCATAGGACACATTATAGTCTAATTTCATCTTATTAAAGCAACTCATAATATATCTTATTTTCTGTTATATCGTATTATTTAACAGAAAATAAATGTTCAAGAGTGTGTTAGAGTAGGAATGATTGACCCTTTATTCTAGTGTATTGATTAAACCTTTTGTTGCAATGCAATGTTGGCATGATATTACTTACTGATTTTTATTCGATAATCATGTTATTGTCATGCATCAAATAACATAAATGAAGAAAATTATTGCAGCATTTTCGTAAACGGTGAAATGTTCTTCTTTTATTTGCAACCATTAAACCAATCAAAGTGTATGTCTTGAAGTACAAGAGAGTTAGATCCTACATTAAAGTATAAAAGAGTCACCCGTGCGCAAGAGTGGTAAACAATATAATTATCCCTTAAAAATAAGCTCAAGTGTAAATAATTACCAAAAATAATCATACCTTATTTTAGTGCTAAATATATTTGCACTTTGTGAATACGTTTCCCCCCACAATTTGTCAACGTTCCCACCTAATACTAGATTATTATGCAGAAATCTTTATGTTTCTCATTGACTCTTGTTTCATAGTCACCTCAATCGCTTAATAATAATGATAATTACAGCTATTAATCATATGCCTACGAAATTAGAACAAATAAAGAGCAGGAATGAATGATTGTACTTCATTTAGTATGAAATCGATTGTATTAATTATCTTTATTAATTAGACAGTTTATATAATATTCACACACATTTGATAAAAAAAAAACTTTTCTTTCACAGGATAAGAAATAAAAACTAGCAATATAAATTTGTAGTGGAGATATATTGAAAAAAAGGAAGTGTAGTTGGGCCTATTGAAATGTCATGGTTTATGGCTTTGGTGTGGTAAGAGATTGTTGGGTCATGGTCACTTGGATGAAGCAGTTGGGAAGTTAGTTACTGTGTGGAGATGACTAGAATGGCTCCGCTGATTAATCTATACTCCCTCTGTTTCATTATAAGTGTCACTCTACAGCTGTGCACACGGATTAAGAAAATAATTAATTTTACATATTTCCTATATAAAAACACAGTTACCCATATACCTAACCATATTTTAACCAATAGAAAAACAAATTACATAATAAAATTAATAAATTTTACATTGAAAATCGAAAACGACACTTATTTTATAACGCAAAAAATTCTCTACATCGACACTTAATATAAAACGGAGGGAGTATAAGTCTCTATGACAGTTTTTATAGAAGAGGATGTGCTGCTGAAGCAGAGGCTCTGTTTGATCATATGGAATCTGAGGTTACTTTGGATGAGGTCATTTATACTTGTTTGGTGAAAGAATATTTTTAATGACAATAGTGATGCTGCTCTACCTGCGGATGGTCAAGAGAATTTGTGAGCTTGACACTTATATTCTCAACACTTTGATTCATGCATGGGTTCATAAAGTTGGGTATGTTTGATAAAGAGTGGGTAATCTTTAGTCGAATGATAAAACAGGAAGTCTGCCTGAATATATTCACATACCATATAATGATAGATTGATAGGTAGCTACTGCAAGGAATGGAATGTATATGTTTTTGAGGCTTTGACAGTTTATATGGTGTATATAAATAAATGTGAAACTAGCTGCTGAGGAAAGCTGCTTCAATGTCTCTGTTACTCTAGACTGACCATGGAGGCGGTTGAAGTGGTATGGTTGCTATTGGTTTTTGGCCTCGCTCCATTAGTCATACTTGGTTGATATATATTTTATGTGAAGAGGCGAAACTGAGAGAAGGTCGTGGGCTGTTTGGTGTTATGCTTCATTTTGGAAGATATTTGTTTAACCGAGTTTGTAAAAATGCTTAACCAGAATCAGGAACTTCAGTTTTGTTGCTCTTGTTATTACTGTATACTAATGAATTACATTAAAACTTCAAAACAACTTGTAAACCTTAAAAAGACAGTTTCACTTTTGACTGTGAAGTGTGTAAGATAGATTAGATAGATTCCATGTGTAAAATAAAACCAACAACTGAGCAGTTGGTCTGCCATTATTCATCATAAGTGACAGAAAAAGGCAGTTTTTCTTCACGTGACTTTCATATTTTCACATTTAAGTATAATTATTTTTCTCGTTCTTTTTGTTTGGCTTGAAAAAAGATGTGTAAACATGAAAATGTGTGCCCAACTTGCATCAAGAAAATTAATATAGTGTGTGTGAAAGGTAGGAAGTTTGTCTATGCATTTTTCTTTATGGCAATAAAAAGCTCATCTTCTTCTACTTGCATAGCTCAAATTCTTCAACTTACATAGCTCAAATTCAGTATCAGTTTTGAGGGGAAACACTACAAGCAACAGCCTCCGACCTTCAGCAAATACTTCAAAAAATTAGCCTTAAATATTTTTCTCGTTCTTTTTGTTTGGTTTGAAAAAAGATGTGAAAACATGAAAATGTGTGCCCAACTTGCCTCAAGAAATTAACTTAGTGTGTGTGAAAGGTAGGAAGATTGTCTATGCATTTTTCTTTGTTGTACCTCAACTTGCATACTCAAATTCTTCAACTTGTATACCTCAAATTACACTTGAACAAATAAGAAAAAAAAATCTAACAAAAGCGACATATATATCACATCAAACTCTTAGCGAGACATTACTATTTTCTATATATTTTATATATTCGAGGTACAACAAAATATTACTTAAATAAAGTTTTAAATTAATGCTTTTTAGCAAATGCATTAATCAAGGACAAAGCATTGCTGGTTTCCTGGCCCATGTTAACTATTCTAGCACGAACCGAGTTCTTGACCCGTCCATCCATGAACCGACCCGAGAACCCATCTGAGCAAGTGTTCTCATCAGTCAAAGCAGCACTAGTCCAAGTCTGAGCATTACTCATGTGGAACGCAAACTGTTCTTGATTCTTGGCACCACCACATAGCTTCATCTCTTGGACCGACTTGGTCAAACGTTCGATGGTATCATTGATCTCCTCGACGCAGTCATGGATGGCTTCGACCTCGCGCTTTTTAAGGGTCTTGAAACGCGTCAAACGCGAGACAAAGAGCTTTGTGGACTGGACTCGGCTTAGGGTAACGGCTAGAGCGGTCTCGGCTAAGCGTTGAGGGCTTGTTTGGATGGCGTTTGCGTAGGCGGAGAGGGAGTGGAAGCACACGGATGGGTATGTGGTGGCTTTGCAAGAGGCTTGGATGAAGTTGACGGCTTTACTGGAAGCTCCGGCCGGTGAGGCTGCGATGGTGGCAGTGAACTCCAGCGAGAAGAATGAGATGATTAGAAAGAGAGTTTGGTATAGTTTTGCCATTGTGTTGTTTTTTTGTGAGATAAGAGACAAAGTGAGATAGTTAGTTGAGTTGTGTGGAGAAGAAAGAGCTGGGGTTGAATATTTATAGTGCTTACAAGCTTGTTTAGGGTTTATTTATGGTATTAAAAACAGTGGAAAGCAGTGAAAACGGGAAAATAAACAGTAGATTAGACTTTTACAGCTAGGAATATATGTTCAGATTGGTGAAATAAAATAATCAAGAAGTAATCAGTTTCAAAAACTGGCAACAATAAATCTGAACGGAATAGAAGAATAAACTACCCACTTTATAAATAATATGTTTACTTTTTCTACCATATGTTTTTTTTTTGTTATTACCATTCATATAGCATGAACGAAAAACTGAGCCTAAATTAGGATTCAATATATACTTGTTGGGATCGAATTAATTAAATAAACACTTGAAATTAGTTGAGTTGATGTTAGTTGAATATTAAACTGATGTTAGTTAAAAATTAAATTGATGTTAGTTGAAAACTTATAAATTACTAGGTGTTTTCTTTTTGTCGACAAATTATTAGGTGTTTATGATTTATCTTTTTGCCACATGAATATAGTTTAGGTTGAAAATCATGGAGTTATTGTCAATCTACCGATTTACCGTTACATGTCAAACCAATCAGAGCTAGAGGCCTAGACGATGTTACATAACACAAAGGAGCAGGCTCAGGTTGAAACCAATCGCATAGACTGCATAATCACTTTTTCTTTTCTTTTTGGTCAAAAGACTTCATTGTAACTATTTGTTTTTGGGTCAAAAGACTGCATCATAGTCCACTTAAGGGTGAAATTGTAGAGTTATTGTCGAAGAAACACACTTAATACTACAGAATAGATTGATTACCATATTATATGATTCGAGTTTGGAATACCTTCCGACTAATACCAAGCGAAGAACCGAGCATCCGTTACGATCAATCATATAAACGATTTCGACCGAATTCTAAACTCATATTGGCCAAATAATGATAATTTAATTTTCAGAGAGAATCGAATCCAACACTGATATAGGTACACGTCGCAAGAGATTATCACTAGGCTCCCATCATTTGGTTTGACCACCATTACATGTGAAACCAATCAGAGCCAGAGGCCTACATGATGTCGTTACATATCACACAGGGGCAGAGACGGGGGACACGGTCAGGCCGTCAAGGACAGGGCTCAATTATTAGCTGGAATTGAAAATGACCCGGAACACTTTTGATATTCTGGTTAACGTTTTTATCTCATATAAAAAATCATGGCAGGGTCCACTTTAACGTCGGTCAATATCATAACGTGAAATATCAAATATCAAAGCATATTATCTATTAAACATAATCGGAAACGAGTAGTGATATTCATTTGTCGTTTTATTCATATCAAGAAGGGAACAAAATAGAGCGATAAAGGCATCGCACCAATCAAGCCGTAATAAAATACAAGAAAATGTTGTTTATTGGGTTTCCACTATTATTAACATTGTCAACATCTAACAACAGATACGCTCATAAATAACTCTCTCAATCAAATGATGACTAGTGTTTTTAACGTCCAGATAAATGTTTTTTTTTGTTCAAAATCCAGATAAATGTTAGGTAATAAAATTAGGTCACTAATTTATCCAATGGCGGCATTAAACAAAGTTATCCCCAACAAAGCATCTCACTAAAATAATTTATCCCCGCCAATAACACCAAATATAACAATATAATAATCATAATCATAAGTTTTTATTATGTACATAGTCCAGAATGTTATAGAAAAAGCTTTCCAGTAATTTATAAATTATATGACTATGGCAATTGGCAGCTAGGCTTCAAATATGTAGTTTATGATATATGATCAAATATATATCAGTCTATAATATGAAATGGTAATTTATGGGATATTTTCTTATTATGTAAAACAGAAATGACAGATATCCTACCGACATAACCGCATTGTTATTTTATTTCCGTACTCCCCTAAAAAACAAAATAATCCACACTTTTGAAATAGATTATTGTTTTGGGTGGGTCATTCATTGTCGTATAGAGCAAAAGTTTAATTCAAATTGACATTGAGAAAATAATTGAGGGAAGAGGAGGGCACGACGAAACGAAAATAAGGAGAATCCCACAAAATAAGGCATAATAAAATGCAAATAAAACAACTGAACAAATGCACCGTGATCTATGAACAATAATTCTTGCCTCAGCATGTGATCTATGAACGTGAGCCAGAGTGATTACTGGGTCAAATGCACCGTCGTACCATCCTCCCCGCATAAGTCCATACATAATATCTTATTTTATGGTTACGTTTTCAATTGTTGGATCTTTAAGAATCGACTCTTCTTTTTAATATACGTATCTTTATCATATATATATTGATGTATTGACAAAAATTGGGGCTGTTCATCATACTGTGATACATCTAAATGAAAAAAAAAGTGGAAATGGAAACAAGTTGCAGACAGAGACTTCCCTCCATAAAGGCCCAATAATATTTGATACGACGACCAATATCACTCGGTGATGCCTGATGCTAGGCCTGCAGATTTTGTCCGAACCAAAATTTTCGGTTTTCGGTTTTGAGTTTGGTTTGGTTCGGTAGAGTTTCAAAAAATGATTCGGATATCGGTTCGTTTTATGATTATTATTTTTTATTTATTTTTTTGAAAATATCCGAAAAATCGAAAATAACCGAAATTACCCAAAAAATATCTGAAAAACCGAATCGGATTTAGCCGAAAACCGAAAATAACCAAAATTAAACAAATCATTTTTTAAAAAAAAGTATACCAAAATTAACCGAAAACCAAAATAATCGGTTATTTTTGAAAATAAACCGATAACCAAACCGAACTGCAATTTAATTTGGTTAGTTTTAGAAATGATTTTCAAAATTTCGGTTAACTGATAACCGAACTCGCAGACTTACCTGATGCCACTAATAATCTTGTTTGGTTCATAATGGTGTCTCTTGTCTTCTAGTATGCAAATCTTGTCATGTTCTGGTTGTGGTTGTTTAGATAAGGATTAGTGGGAATATCTCAAAAAAATATCTCTATTAAAAATTAATTTAAAATAAAAAAGGAGAGTGAAAATTGTAAAATGGAGAAAAGATGAAAAAGAGCTTCTCATCCAGCTTTTTAAAAGAGCTTAAGTAACTTAACTACTGTCCTTTTTGGTGGCTCAATTACTTTTTAAAAATAAGAAACAATGAAGATTATTATTTCTTGTTTTCAATTGTTTCTCATGATTGTCATTTTCTAAATGGTTAGGACTGTAAATTTTAATTTGGGTTCTCATGATTTTCTCAATGGTTAGATTGTAAGTCCAAGCACTTGTGTGTTTGTGTGTTTAATATTGCAGCATAGTATCTGAATTGGTTACTCGTGTATACTTTGCCAACTCTAAGAGTAACTATTCATTGCATGTAACGTTGATGTCAGTTATTTTAACCATTTGAATAATCAAATGCTAAACACTTGTATTGAAAAGGTTGTGATGTAGTTTGTGCCTGGTGGAACTATCTAACTTTGGTTTTAGATTTGACTCTTTGTTCACAAACAAGTAAGTAGTTGCTAAATGACAAGTTGATCATCGTTCAACGAATGTGAAGAAACTTAAGCTTCATACTTTTTTATTAAGACTCAATGTTTCATTGCTTCTGCTTATTCAATCTCGTTAAGTTGCTCTAGTGACCAATCTCATAGCTCTTTCAAAAACAGCTGCAGCTCCCATACCAGTGCCTGTTGCATTTCCATTTTACATGTACCGTCAGTAATATATCATCAAGGTAACTTTTGGTCAATGTTACTTCCCTTTTTTTTAACATGCTCGAGGTTACATATAGGTAGAAAATTTCCCAAAGAACATGTATTGAATAGAGTATGCATAACGTACAAAAAAAAAGTTAACAATTTTTAGCAAAGATTTCTCGTGTTTCATTACAAAGTAATAAGAAGTCGTAACAACTATGTGTTCCAAAAAAAAAAAAATTCGTAACAACTACTCCTTAATTAGCAAAGGCGTTAAACAAAGACATGACATTGCTTGTTTCCTTGCGCAAGTTAACTAGCCGTGCCTGGACAGACGTCACGGTACTCGAGAACCGGCCTGAGCAGGTGTTCTCCACCTCCCAGTCATCCGAAGCCGAAGTGAACAACTCTTGCGCCTTGCTCACATGAAACAAAAACTTGCTTTGAGGAGCACTCTCACTGTCAGAAAGCTCCATCTCTCGGATCGCTTCGGCCAGACGGTCAGTGGTGAAAACGTACGGGCTCGGTGCACAGTCCTGGAGGGTTCTGTACTGACTTTTCTTTAGGTGCGAGACAAAGAGCTTCGTGGACTTGGCATGTTTCATGGTCACTGCTAAAGCGGTTTTTATGAGGTGTTTAGGGTTTGTTTGGATCGTATTGGCGTAAGTGGAGAGAGAGTGGACGCACAGGGTTTGGTACGTTGTGGTTTTGCAAGAGGATTTGATGAAGTTTAGGGCCTTTTTGGTGGTGGTAGTGGCAGTGGTGGCGGCAGTGAGCTCCCCTGAGAAGAGGTAGGAGATGGAGAGGACTAGTAAGAGAACTTTGTAGTGTTTTGCCATTGGTATTGCCATGTTGAGTTTGAAATGGTTATAGTGGCTACAGAAGTGTTCATATATATGTATATATATATTGTTAATATTAACAACATATATATTGTTAATATTAGACTAATATTATTAGTAAACTACAATCACATTCTCGGATCCGATCAGACCAATAGATGATACACATACCCTACTTGCACATATATAGCTTAAAGTAATTTATACAATAACATAGAAGCTATTATTTTGTAAGACTTCATCTCTCTCTCATATAGTTAGACATGAAAGTCTTTTATTAGTAGATTTTACAAATTGTCAAACAAAAAAAACCCTTGCAGTTCCAGTAAATGCTTACAGCAACACCATAATAATTGTAACTTTAAACTAAAACAAATAAAACTACTTCCATGTGGAAAATCATTGGCTGGAACTCGAGCTTTTAATTAGAGGGGAATCAAAATAGGAGGAATTAATCTTTACAAAAAAATAATTAAGAGGAATTAAATAAAATAATAATTAATAAATCATATATCATCTAAAAATAATACTATTAGTTTAGTTATTACTTTGGTTGGTTTATATTACATCAGTTTGCTAGACCTCAATGAAGTCTCATGTTCTTCTCATTTTCTTGTCATATGATCAAAACGGAAGTAGCATAGTTTTTTTTCTTCGAATATGTGGATACACACGAGATATTCTAAAGAAAAAAAGCTTCAAGTTCCTTGACGTCATTATATACCCACAAAGATTCATGTAGCTATACAACCAAATAATATATCCATAATTCTTACCATACGTAAACAGCAACGGAAAGAAAGAGTTGTTACTTTTGTTGTATACATCATATGTGAGGGTATATTAATTAAGTAGAACCTTGAAGAATCTTTGTTCAAGGGGCTGATGGGTTTGAAGTTTCTGTTGATTCCTTAGCGTTCTTTTGGAGAAGATCGTAATTTATTGAAGCCAGCTGTGAGAGGTTCTGATAACACAAAAGCATTGTGAAGTGAATAAACATTTAAAGGTATAACCAAGAGAGAGTTTAACTGACTTTGAAAGAAAAGTTGCTGAAGGAATACTTCATAGCAAGATTAGGCCCATTTCCAAATTCTGCTAAGATACCACCACCACACTCATCCCCCTGTTTTTACAACATAAAAAACATTTGTTATGGAAGCAATCTAGAAAAAGGTAAGTGAAAACAGGAAAGAATCTTATTACATCTTCCTCATGTGAGCCGCTGCTACTATATGTGTCAGTAAGGTCATCAAAATCACTGCCTCCACGAACATTTTCGTCTTCGGGGTTCCATATATATTTGCTCATGAAATAGCTAGTGTATTGTGGTTCCCCTGATGGTACAAACATAGCCTGTAATAAAATATACAAAAATAAGATTAGTAATTGATTTTTTTTTTCTTCTCAAGTAACTTATATAGATTATGGAACGCACCTTTTGCTTGGCAAGCGTGTCCCAGTTAATATCTTTGAAAAATTGATGCCGTTTCACCTGTAAGTAGATTGTTCAGAAAATTGAATGTTTAGCTATGGAATGAACTAATAGAGCTTTACCTCTCCAGCTCCTGTTGCCCCAAGTCTTTGGACAGGATTTTCTGTTAACAGTCTGTAACATGGACATAAGAAGACAATGTTACCACAATTAACATATTTATTGCAGAAAGTGTGTGATCTTACTTGTTGATCAGATCATATGCTTCAGAAGATATTTCCTCTGGCACATTAGGCCATAGTATATCTCTGTTGATAATATTTTCAAATATTTGCTGCAAACACATGAATTAAAGAAATGGATGTTAAAAAAAAAAAAAGAATTAAAGAAATGTTAAAACACATTGATGAAAGATGAGTTGAGCTTAATAAAAAAACATTTACCTGTGGGGCTTCTGCATTGAAAGGAGGTACGCCCACGAGCATCTCAAAGAGAATAACACCTAGTGACCACCAATCAGCGGTTTTACCTGTAATGAATGATAATATATAAGTCCATGAACAGATTTTATGATGCATATTATAATTACTGAAAATACTAACCATGACCCATTCCAAGAAGTATTTCAGGTGCAAGATAATCAGGTGTTCTAACAACTTCATGTTTTCTACGACTAGCTTTGCCTTGTGAATGTTGAGGTCTCTCATCTTCTGCGAAAAATTCACTGTTTCCAAATGATGCTTCACCTGATAAGTCATCTGTGCTGTTGATAAGGCCAACCTTGGAAAGCCCAAAATCTGTCAACTGTATTACAAGGAAGCAGAGTTCAGAAAAAATAAGGCCTGACACCAAATCTGGATGCATAATGCAAAGCTTCAAAATCGATACCTTGATATGACCATCCTGATTGATCAACAAATTGTCTGGCTTTAAGTCTCTGTGAATGATATTTACAGAATGCAAATACTCCAGTGCAAGCACCTGTTAAAGTATTTGATTTAGTTCAACCTGTAAATTAGGCATGGGCATATAAACCAAGAACCAAAACCTAACCGATATTATTAAAGAGGGTCCCAATATCTCTGGAACCAAAAAAAAAAATCAAACCGAGAACCAAATCCGACCCAAAATTTTATCGCATATTATCTGGCTATTAATATTGTTATCCAAACCAAAAACTAAAATAACCGAACTAAAACCAAGAAAATCATAAATAACCGATTGATTCCTATATCTCTAGACCGGACCAGACAGAAACAAAAACCGAACACCGGAGCCTACTTAAACTGTGGAGAGTTAGAGTCTGAATCAGGGGCGGAGGCATTAAGGAGGTTGTGGGGTCACTTGACCCCAGTAGGATTGGAGGAATTTTTTTTTAGTATATTTTCTTTAAAATTACTGTAATATTTGATCATAATTTGGTATTTGACCCTACTATTTTATGTTTATACTTTTATATGTTTCCGTTAATATGAAAAAAATAGTGTAATATTTTATATATATTTAAATTAGGTATTAAATTTATATATTATGACCCTAATAAAAAATATTTCTAGCTCTACCACTGGTCTGAATCCGGACCAAAAGAAAAAAAGAGCAGTGTAAGAAAGGCCTTACAACTTCTGCGATGTAAATGCGAGCCATGTCTTCGTCCAAGCAACCAAGATTTCCCAACAAGGAAAATAGATCTCCACCATTCAAGTACTCCATCACCAGATAAAGATTTTCACGGCATGTGAAAGAATAAAAAAACCTGACCTGCACAGCTAATAACAAGCATTAGAAAAACTACAATATTTTTTTTTCATAACGGTAACTATACCATTTCTGACATTACATACCACGAACGGGTTACGAATTGAGATAAGCATGTTCCGCTCAGCTAAAATACTCTCAACAGCATTTTTACGTATCATATCAGCTTTCTTTAAAACCTGCATCATGGTTTAGACAACATTGAGTTACTGTTAGAACAAGTTCAAAGAGTAATACTATTATGTTTGTAACACAAACCTTAATGGCAAACAAATCACCAGTTGCTATTTTTCTTGCAAGAAACACTTTTCCAAACGCACCTCGGCTGATTGGTTTTATAATTTCAAAATCATCTATCGAGGTTCTATCTTTAGCTCGTGCATTAAGTGGGCTTGTCTTCATTATATCCTCATCTGCTGAGATATCTTGCTCAGCCACGTTGTTTGATGATTCCACTTTTTCATCATCTATGTATCCACAAAGTTCAATGTACTTCTCCCTAGATTTTGAGAAAAATCAAACTGAATTTGCATGTAATAAACAGTAGTGATGATAAAAAAAACACATGATAAGTAGAAATGATTACTGCAAAAGCTTCACTATTCTTTTTCCAAATGTTTCTACCAGCAGGGCATCTGCTTTCCTATCTTGAATGACGTGGTTTAACTCATCTAACTGCTCAATCATGAAGTCCAATGAGCTGTATCCACAAAAATTCACATTTGCCACCGAGCGAGCAATCTCTAGCAACTTGTTTATCTGTCAAATCCAAGCAGAAAATAAAGATGTGAAGCTAAATCTGAAAGGAATTAACATGGAAAATGCTAATAGAATGTAAACATTTTGTCAAATGACCCTAGTTCGAATGACTATTGAGACGAAACTAATATTACATGTTGTGGTTTTGGGCCTGCGAAGATTACAGGCTTCGGCCCGAAACTCCAGATTTTAAAAACATTTTACCTGTTGACAATTCTCAAACTCTGATATTGTTCTTCGTCCACTTAGTAGTAAATCTACTTGGCTTATCCTTGGTGTTGCTGGTGATGGTGGTGTCAAGCTTCCCGCTGACAAGTCCTTTGCTTCATTGGTCTTAGACACTTCATCCAAAGAAAATGTATTATCTGAACGTGGAATGCAATGAAGTATATCATCTGAACATCTGTTAGAGATTTCATTAATATCTTCATGTCTACTCAATGTTGATGATAATCTTGGGGTTCCGCTCTTTGGTGTCAATGACTCCAGAATTTTCTCAAGACTTTCAGCAACTCTTTCAAGTCTTAAATTCACATTAAAACCCGTCAAGTCACATCTATCAGCAATAGTGCATATCCTATAGTGCATTTCTACATGTACAACTGGTATTTCAACTTCACATATACGACAAATCATGGAGTTATTATCCGCCCACAAACCCCACAGATCACTTGCATGCTGGCCTGATGAGCTATGCAAATTCTCATCAACTCCACAGCTCAAATTCTGATCAAGACTATCTTGTTTTTGGCGAAGAAGGTCCTGCTGGCGCGAGATTTCCACCATCTTCTCTGGATAAACACCGACATCACTTAGCTGATGCATCTTGCGAAGGTGTTCTTCAACACAATCATTCTCTTTACGAAACTGCACAAGTCTATTGCAGCGAGTAAGGATGAAAAGAATACGATTATGAGCTTGCTTGAGTCCTCCCATGGGTAGCTCTTGACGTTTATCGTCAAGTTTCTGAACAATACTTTCACATTTTACCCAAAACTCACCAGCTGGCATGGTTGCACACTGCTTAGCCTTGATTAACAGATCCTCTAGACCCGTTATTAACTCTTTGTTAGTTTCTGGAGTGGTCTCTAGAGTGGTCACTAAGTAGCCAGCAAACACTCCTAAATCAGCATCAACATCTTCCTTTTGTCTTTCAAACTTGGTTCTGATTGCCGCCATAACCTCCTATAAAAAATCATTTTATAGTAATAAATACTAAACCAAATCGAACGCAAACTGGTTCACAAATTGTGGTTGACTTCAGTTAAAGTTTTTTTAGACCTGAACTGAACCCGAATTTAAACCGAAATGCCCATACTAACCTATATGTGAACATAAGCAAAAAAATAAAAACCAAACCAAACCAAATCGAACACAAACCAAACAAATTTAAGTTGACGTTGAAGTTTTCTTAGACCAAACAAACAAAACCGAAACCGAATTTAACCCAAAATGCCCATACTAACCTCCATGTGACCAACTGCTCGAGACTTCCACATGGGGAAAGGCCTAACACCTTTGGAGTTGAGTTCATGAGAGAAGCTCTTGATGCCATGAGCTAATTTCTTGTTGCGTCCACTTGTGACACGAGAATGAGATTCTTTTGCAATACCTACTGCATGAGAAGTCTGCATTCATAAAACAAATTCATCAAATGAGCTTAGAAACTTGAATTTGAAAACCATTCAAAGAACAAGATTATATAAGTCACCTCTATCCCTGGATTGGGATTCACAGGAACTCGTGGAGATTTTGATCGACTCCATTGAACTTTTTTACCTATAAGCAACAAAACAAAGTCAAGGATCATCATCGTCTCTTTGATTTGGAAATTTTCGAATTTTCATACCATGATCAGGAGGAATAGGCCATCTGGCACGAGCATCAGCAGCTCCAACCTTAGGTTTCTCCGTTGTAGACATCGGCGACGTTTGGTATAAGTATCGAGAAGTCTGAATAACTTTTAAACGTTGAAGATAATTTATTGAATTTTCATATTTACATTTACTAGTCTATGCAAAGCGTTTGAGTTTAATTTGTATATAATAAGGTAAGTTTTAATGTTGATTTATGTAGTGGTAGTTCTTTAAGGATAATCAGAATGTCTATTACAACGTGCTTCCAACAATATGCATGTCTTCCCCATTTCTACAAACTATAATAACCCAATCTTGTGTTTTTGAATTTAAAAATTAGCATTTCCTGATGTTTTCTTCAGGGTTGACCAAAAAACACGGTGCTAAGATATTTTTATCAAACAACAATTGGTTAAACTTCCAGAAAGGGACATTTGAAAAAGAAAAAAAAATACTCTGTACTTAATACAATAAAACATAATTAACAAGCAGAGCCGGCCCTTGGTATAAGCCATAGAAGCAGTGGCTTCCGGCCGTGATATTATAAATACAATTTCGGCCACATTTTTTCACAAATCTCCTTTGGTCTAGTGGCTTCATCTGAAGACATCAGACCCTATTTGCCCAACCCGGCTTCGATTCTCAGAAGGGCAGCCAATTTTTTTTAATTTGTTTCTGGCCTTAGATTTCCTAGGACCGGCTCTGTTAACAAGTTTATCAAACAACAATTAGATGGTGTACTATTCAATCATGTATTTTAAAAGAGTTTAAATCTAAACACAATCCATTGTTATTCAATTGATGATTCTAAATTCTATTTTAAAATTCAGTGTTATTCAATTTATAATTGAATTTCAAGTTTTAAAATCTGGTGTTATTCAAGTTTTAAGGATTTTAAAATTCTTTGTAATATAAATGGATTTCAAATCATTGGTGATGGATTCTAATGAATAAATGATTAAATTCTAAATCCAAGGGGTATTGCAGAGATTTTAGAATCCATCAACTTTAACAATCTTAAAATTTTAAAATTTAATAGATTGTAAAATATTTAGAATTGATTTTAAATCACTAATTGAATAACACCCCCTAAATAGTTCATTTAGAAAATAGCTAAAAATGATGTATATCCAAGTAACTGGGCCGGTTAGAAATACAGAAGCCCATATAACTTTGATTT